GGTGGTAGGTTAGAGTAGTAACAAGAAACACAGCTAAATTACAAAAAAAATTTTTTTTTACTATATTGGACCAGTTTTCCTTTAATAATAAAAAGAAAATCAGGAGATATCCATTAACATTTACCACCAAATGAAAGCCCAATTTGTCCTGAAAAAAAAAACAAACTATGGTATAATTCAGATGTATAAAGTAGTTGTGATGATATGTACGGTTTTACTAACACATGTCAAAGTTGTAAAATTTTACTTAGGCTTTAAGATTTGTTTTACCCTTAGGTGTGAAGGGGTTAATGTGCAATTACATTCAGGACCAATATATTACAAAAGTGAAGTTTGCCAGGAGAAAAACAGAAGTGTTCCCCATTGAGAAGCTTCTTCTGTAAATGCTGGTTCCCTGACTCTCATGCTGATTGTGTAGGTTTGATTCCTCTAGAATCACTGACCTGGGAAAAAAATATTCAAATCAAGAGTTTTGACTTGACTTGCATGCTTGTTCCAGGTGTATAACTCAGAATACACAAAAGCTACAGACAGTCAACAAGCATCTTCAGAAATAAGTCAGTGGTAAAAAATTATGTGCTTTAGTGAGGACACATTTCCTGCATATCCAGTATGTGAGACATGATCAGTAGATTTAAAGATATAGGAAGCTAATATATAAAATATGCAACTCCTGACTTTACTGTATAGCAGAAGGGAAAAGGCCAAGCACATCGCTTACAGGAATAAAGGTTGCATATAACCGTTCTAGATATACCGATTGTTTCCATTTCCAGTGTGGAGTTATAAATACGTTCAGATGCTTAATTTCCAAAAGATCTATATGCTGAATGCAACAATTACCACATTTGCCCCATTTGGACAGAGTTATACTTAAGAGTATTATCAACTTCCAACTTAAGTTTGTGCTCTGCAGTCAAGTGATTACTTGGAACAAATGTAATGCTAGCCTCTTACTCTCCTTGGCAGAAAGTGTTTAGTTTGATGAACTGTAAAAAAAAGCTAACCTGTTGAATCTCTTTGTGTGTTGGAATAGGCTTGTCTGTGTAACCTTGGTAATTAAACCAGGAGCAGATGGTCTGTAGAGAACGGTACGCACACCCCCAACCACTGTCATCCATGTGATCTTGCATGTAGTGATGGTAACTGTATATTCCATGAACCAATGAGACCTACAAAGAAAAGAGCATTGATAGGTTTACTGCTGCATGAAAAGGTGCAGTATATTACATTTCAAAAGGAAATATGTAACAATATACTATTTGCTTCATTAGGTCTTGAATATCACTGCATTCAAAATGCACATGGACTAATATAATTTAGAAGAATTCTTATGATAAAAGATATTTAAGTGTTGTTACTAATTATACAAAAGGAGTATACTAATTCAAGTAGAACTGAGGGCAACATTTTCTCAATAGAGTAAGATAATCCATGTGAGGTTTTTTCGCTATTTGTGTCCCATTGGGGAGATTTTCCTTCACTTCCTGTCCCACAGCCAAAACAGAAATTGTGATGAAATCACTTTAAAGTGAGGGAATCACTGGTTGTCACCAAGGTCACCAGAACTAGTGTCCCTATTGGAAGATGTCCCCTCTATTCCTGTTAACAACCCCAAATTTGTGATTTTCTTTTATTTTTACTCTCTATGATAGCTTTAAACAGGATAAATAAAGAGGGGGAGTATCCCTAACAGGGGCATAGTTATAAAGATCTGACAGGTGTTCTCATCCCTCTTATCAAAACCTAAAAAAAGTTTTGCCCTTAGTAATAAACTATGGACCATCAAAAGCAACCATAGGGATCAATACACTGACCACCAATAGTTTCTATTCAAACTGTAAAACAGGAAAAACAGGCAAAGCTGGTTGATACTGCATGAAAATAGAGGGCTCCATGCAATAAGCTGCATCCTGCAAAAACATTGGCAATTTAAAAAAAAAAAATATTCATATTACAATGAATTTGAAATGTCCTGCATGCTGCAGTTTTGGTGCACTGGAATGGAGTTTTCCAATTTAAATGGTTCTAAAAGGCAGAAAGCTGTTTACCTTCATGCATTCCATGCATGAAGGTGAAAAAACCTTCTGTGTGCTGCTCTCCCCAGAGCCCCTATAATACTTACCCAAGCCCCTTCCCGATCCAGCGATGTGCACGAGAGCCTCGGCTGTCCCTGGACTCTCTCTCCTCATGGATAAGACAGCAGTCAATCAGAGCCAGTGAGCCAATGAGGAGAGATCGGGGGGTGGGGCCGAGCTGCGGCTCTATGTGTCTTATGGACGCATAGTGCCTGGCTCAAGAGCAAGCACGCATCAGTGTCGCCATAGCAAGTTGCTTGCTATGGGGGCACTGGTCAAGGGGGAGGAGCCAGGAGCACTGGCAGGGGAGCCAAGAAGAACAGGATCGGGGCTGCTTTGTGCAAAACCACTGCACAGAGCAGGTAAATATAACATGTTTTGTTGTTTAAAAAACAAATCGGAACCTTTAATACCACTTTAGGTCAATTTCCTCTTTGATTTCCATCCCTGGCCAAACTCAAACAACAACTTACTACACTGAAAAATCTTGTTTTTGTAGAACGTATTGAATCTATAAAAATTACTTTATGATTACGAGTATTCATAGAGAAGAATATGACCAAAACTGTATAAACAGTTACATAAAAGCACAACTTCTGTTTTCTTTCTTATGAAGTGTTTACTTACTGTGCCTCCTTCTATAGTAGGATGATTAAAATGTAAATGTGGATTACGGAGATATCCATCCTTGTACAAGTCATCTGGAAAATGATAGGCATTTGCTCTTCTAAAGTATGGTCTATCCAATTGAAGGTTGTTTTGTGTGTGTAACATCTGGTAAAATATATAAATAAAATATTGCAAAGGCAATGGGGTTTTAATCAGGCTTTATTTCTATCTACATAGCTACTTAGGTAAAATAACAAAAAAAAAAAAAAAATCTTCCCTTACTACAGCAACCTTAAAGTTCTAGGCTTTTCTCACAGCATGCTGCAAAGTCAATAGATTGATCATCAAGGACCTCATGGTCTCAAAACAGCTTTGAGATGTCATTTTGGATTCTAGCTATTCAATTTTTGCATATGGGTAGGATACAGCTCAGATAAAAAGCACACTTTTGGGTAAATGGTATGGGGTGTTGTTCCTACCTGCACCTTGTGTTTTTTACCTGCATTGATCATGACGTTTCATGGTGTCATTTTTGGCCTCTACATACAGCCTATAGTAGAGTAAATCTTCACATTCTGGTGTCAAACGTTTGTGTTCAAACATGGCACTGCACAGGTTAATGCATGACCTCTGTCTGTAGTCTTAAAACAGACACTAAGGCCCCTTTCCCACAGGCGGACCAATCGGGTCTGCCTCTTTGTTTTTCAGGCAGACCCATTCAGACCATCCACTGCCCTCTATGGAGCGGCGGATGTAAACAGACATGTGGAATTGTTCCCCATCAATCTAGTGGATTGGTTGACAGTTGGATGCAAACGGACAGGTGGTCTGTTAACATCTGACTGCCCATAGAGGAAAGTGAGCTGTGTCCATGTCCACGTCCACTGTGCATAAGCGGAGAAAAGGGGGACTGATCACCCCACTGAGCAGGTGGATCAGCTGGTGGACTTTGCCCGTGTGAAAGGGGCCATACTGTGAAGACTCCACATATGCCACAACCCCTAGGTCTCTTAGTCTAGTGCTCTTCAGGTGAGAGCTGATGGATAATGAGACAGAGCAATTAACAGAAAGCTCACCGTGTAGTCTTTCATTGCATTATCATTACCTAAAGTGTTACTAAACCCAGGACCCTATATTCACTATATCTGGTCTCCCACAGTACACAGAACATGGAAATGCAATTATGTTAGTAAATATAAACTGCTAAATACCTTTTCTCACCACCAGTTAGAGCAGTCTTGTGACTTCTATCAGTGTCCAGCTAAGCACATGTTAAAGCTTGTAGGAGGAGTTTTAATTTTGCTCTAGGAGGATGCAGGACTCCTGACCTCTGTCTGGACAGTGATGACTGGCCCTGTGCTGATCACATACACTCTCCCAAGAAAAAAAAACAAAAACAAAAAAAACCTCTCTAGCGATACACACCAAACTGAGCATGTGCAGAGTGACTCCACATAGTATGTCTTATCAGGAGATAAGAGGAGGACACTGGAAGAAGGGGATCAAACAGCGTTTTTACACAATGCAGAGGATTAACCCCTTAGGTTCCACAGTGAGTATAACAAGCAGGCTTTACTGCATATACAGACTGATTTTACTGTTTAGTGGGTTTAGTAACACTTTAACTGTGATGCAGGAAATGATGAGGCATGCATTGTGACCCAGAAAAAGAAGTTGCCTGTCTCTTTAGCGAATATAGACAATGCAGGTGAATAAATACATGGACACAGGGGTATGATCAGCCATGGAACTACAAACTGCAGCCACAACATGTGAGCCCATCATTACAGGGTAAGACAAACAAACAGCACAGAGAATACAACTACACTGATACCTAGGTAAAACAACAAAACAATTGAAAGTGTACTATGCCTCTCCTGCTTCCTGTGCTGTCTGTGGTAGTAAAAAGATACCAGTGTCTGAAGATCCCACAGAATCTGACTTTTCCAGCAATATAGATTTTTTGACCCTAGTGCTCCGTGGTTCCTCCTACATCATTACAGAACACAACACTGACATAGAAGGAATCAGTCAAAGCACTGGACATAGTAAAGCACTAGGGAATTTATACTTTTGGAAATGTGGAATCCTGCAAAATCTTCAGGCATTGGTATCTTTTCACTAATACAATGAATGGAGGCATGGTCAGCAAATGGGCTGCTCCTGAATCAGTAGCAGTACATCACAGTTTTTACAAAACCTTATTTTTCATACTACACACCTAAAGCTTTTTTGTTACTGATTTAGATGCAGTAAGTTAGCAAGTCTTGTTTTTTATCTTATTTTTATTTATAAAAATATTCTAGCATCTATCAAACGTGTTTTTCCTGGACTTTGGAAATGTTTTATGTGTCTCTCTTCATTTTCTGTTGGACATATGCCATCTGGTACACAAAATACCTTTCTGTGGTCCTCCAGTTGAGACTCTGCTACTCCTGCTGGATAGACCACTGTCAGAAAGCCTTTACTTTCTGGTAGCATGAAGTGAAAAGGTTCTGCCAAACAAATTGATGTTCCCTTTATATATTTCAGCATGCATCTCTCCATCTCAGTCAACTGTTGTTTGAGTGCTTTCACTAGAATTCCACAAACACTGTTCAAAAGAAAAATAACATTAAAAAACGGTTATAAGGTCATACAATATATTGCATACTGAACAAAGATCAGAAAAAAATATATTGTCTCACACACTGATTTACTGTAATGTAGCAGAGATCAGTAAGTAAAATCAAAACAGTGTCAAAAATACACAGCTGTGTAACTGGGTCATTTCATCTTCATCAGGTCTCTACATAAAAAGAATTACTCTACCTGTATACAATTATTACATCAAAGGACCACATCTTACAGCATAGTCTGGCCTTTGACAAGTTGACTTGCCTTCATAACTCACACAGTGTATAAATATTATAATCACATGAGAGGAGTCAGCAATCAGGCTCTGTCCTGAAGGCTGTAGATCTTTCTTGTATGTAGACCACCCCTCCTTCAACTGATATGATATCTACCAATCACGTCATACAAAATGACGTCCCTATGGGGTGTAAAAATTGGGACCAGATTTTCTCTGTTAGGAGATAAAACTGTTCAAACTAGAATAATGTATCTACTGTAATAGTTTTAACATAGTCTGCTTTCACATATGCACATTCATTGCAATATACCTAATGAAGTAATGATCATGCATAGTTTAGGATCTGCCCACAACCTTAGTCTATGGCACCAATGTACATTCACAGCTGACCAGTATTTGGTTGGCAAAATCAAGATTTTCAAACTTGTCTAAGTAGTTTCCCCTGGAAGTAGAAAGTGTGGTGTTTACCTTTAGGCCCCATGAACACATGATGTTTTGCTAATTATCTTAGAAGTCTTCTCCCTGGCAGCAGCATTTTGACAGAAAAAACTCCTGATGCTTGTAAAAGTGTATAACATGTTTAGGCACAGCAAGCGCTTGGCTCTTAATTCAATTAATTGGCCAGAATAATAATGTAATCTGGTCAATGAAATTAATTAATGTTCAATCATTGCTGATCATCACTTCCAGTTAGTTCCAAGGGGGGCCCACAGGAGCAGATCATCACTGTCAGTTAGTTCCAAGGGGGGCCCACAGGAGCAGCCTGTACCAGTTGTGGTTTATAAAATGGTGCTGGTTCAAAAAGGGGTTAAGAACAACTCTACCCCAAGGCCTGAAACTAATAAATAAAATGAAATCAATTTCCCCAACTTTAAGTTTAAATTTAAAAAAAGATTATTGCACTCACTGTAAAATCCTTGAATTTGGAGTCTTTTGAGGGGAACAGGAGGTCTTTACCTTCGAGTTACACTGCTGACTACAGAAGCATTAGACAGTGGCAAACAAAAAATCTGTAGGCCAGCCCAGGATAACTCCCCCCCTTCTACTACTGGTATATTTCAGTTTTGAAGCAATGCATTACCAAAAGCATGATCATAAACACAGACTGGTGGAATTTGTGTCCCTCTAAATGGACTCCATGAAAATAATTTTACAGCAAGTACACAAATTTCAATTTTCTTGTTCATTGAGAGACACAGAAAGTCTTTAGCCTTTAGGTGGTTCAAAGTATTCCAACTGAGGGGTGGCGAATAGAAAAAACACTAACAGGCCCAAGAAGAACAAAAGCAAACTGGGGACTGCCTGCAGCTCAAGTTGCAGCCTGAAGGACCTTACACCCAAAGCTGGAATCAGATGAGGCTGAAATGTTCACTTGGTAGAACTTAGACAACATGTTAACAGACAACCATTTGACAGTCTTGGAAAACAGTTGCTTGATGCCAGAAAGAACTCACAGATCTAGTAGAGTGCTCCATGACAAGTAAGCTTGGATAATGGTCTGCCTAAGCCACCTAGAGATGGTGAAACCAAAAGCCAAAGCACCATTGTGAAATCAAATGGGATGAAAAAAAAAAGTTAAAATTAAATCTTTCTGAAAGAAGAAGTGGTTGAGAGATAGACTTCACAGCCTGATCCACATCTAGACAATGGTGGACTCAAGATGAACTTGAGCCTGAGGTGAAAGGCAGAAACAACCTTAGGGAAGAAGTAGTCCCAGGCCCCAAAACTACATTGTTCTTATGCAAAACCAGAAAGACTACCAGTTCAGACACAAGTCTTGTAGAGGTGATGGCTACAAAGAATACCACTTTGTAGATAAGAGTAGGGATTATCTCTAACAGGTTCAAATGGTGGTTTCTGAAGTGCAGAGGGAACCAGATTTAGATCCCACAGAGTCACAAGGGACAGGAGAAAAAAACATAAGAGACCCTATGTACAATGGTTTAAAAAATGTGAGAGGCCAAGGGGCTCAGGAACTGGATAGAAAGGTGCAGAAACTTGGCTTTTGCTAGTGCTGAGAGAAAACCACTGGTCTAGACCCTGCTGCAGGAAGAAAAGACTGTATCATATGGAGAAATTCCAAGGGTGGAAGTCCCAACACTCACACCAAGGTCTAGATTGGAGCATCATAGCAATCACAGTTTCAGAGATGCCCCACCTCTCAGAACCAGGGCTTTACATGCCTACTGTATATGGGTAGATAAAGTGCTGTGCAATCAAAGACCCAGCTGCAGGAAGGAAATAAATTGTGCCACAGCGAATTTCTGAGGGTGGAAGCCCCAAGAATCACAACAATTTCTAGCTTTGAGCATCATAGGAATCACAGATTCAGTGTATAGCCAGTTTTAGTGAGACCAGGGCCTGGTAAATTCTTCCAATATCTTCTATGCCCTAACAGTTAAAAGAGAAAAAAATCGTATACTATAGATGCAAGGACTACTTGTACATCAAATATAAACAGCAATAAATATTTGTTTATTACTATATGATATGAGGAAATACTAACATTTCACCTCAATATTCTGAAATAAATGATGAATAAGTTCCCAGGCATACAGTGGGGCAAAAAAGTATTTAGTCAGCCACCAATTGTGCAAGTTCTCCCACTTAAAAAGATGAGAGAGGCCTGTAATTGGCATCATAGGTAGACCTCAACTATGAGAGACAAAATGAGAAAAAAAATCCAGACAATCACATTGGCTGATCTGGAAAGAATTTATTTGCAAATTATAGTGGAAAATAAGTATTTGGTCAATATCAAAAGTTCATCTCAATACTTTGTTATATATCCTTTGTTGGCAATGACAGAGGTCAAACGTTTCCTGTAAGTCTTCACAAGGTTGGCACACACTGTTGCTGGTATGTTGGCCCATTCCTCCATGCAGATCTCCTCTAGAGCAGTGATGTTTTTGGGCTGTCGCTGGGCAACACGGACTTTGAACTCCCTCCAAAGGCTTTCTATCGGGTTGAGATCTGGAGACTGGCTAGGCCACTCCAGGACCTTGAAATGCTTCTTACGAAGCCACTCCTTCGTTGCCTGGGCGGTATGTTTGGGATCATTGTCATGTTGGAAGACCCAGCCACGTTTCATCTTCAATGCCCTTGCTGATGGAAGGAGGTTTGCACTCAAAATCTCACGATACATGGCCCCATTCATTCTGTCCTGTACATGGATCAGTCGTCCTGGTCCCTTTGTGGAGAAACAGCCCGAAAGCATGATGTTGCCACCCCCATGCTTCACAGTAGGTATGGTGTTCTTTGGATGCAACTCAGCATTCTCACTCCTCCAAACATGACGAGTTGTGTTTCTACAAAACAGTTCTATTTTGGTTTCATCTGACCATATGACAGATCATCCTGGATCATCCAAATACTCTCTAGCAAACTTCAGACGGGCCCGGACATGTACTGGCTTAAGCAGGGGGACACGTCTGGCACTGCAGGATCTGAGTCCCTAGCGGCGTAGTGTGTTACTGATGGTAGCCTTTGTTAGGTTGGTCCCAGCTCTCTGCAGGTCATTCACTAGGTCCCCTGTGTGGTCCTGGGATTTTTGCTCACCGTTCTTGTGATCATTTTGACCCCACGGGGTGAGATCTTGCGTGGAGCCCCAGATCGAGGGAGATTATCAGTGGTCTTGTATGTCTTCCATTTTCTAATTATTGCTCCCACAGTTGATTTGTTCACACCAAGCTGCTTGCCTATTGCAGATTCAGTCTTCCCAGCCTGGTGCAGGTTTACAATTTTGTTTCTGGTGTCCTTCGACAGCTCTTTGGTCTTCACCATAGTGGAGTTTGGAGTGTGACTGTTTGAGGTTGTGGACAGGTGTCTTTTATACTGATAACAAGTTCAAACAGGTGCCATTGATACAGGTAATGAGTGCAGGACAGAGGAGCCTCTTAAAGAAGAAGGTAAAGGTCTGTGAGAGCCAGAAATCTTGCTTTTTTGTAGGTGACCAAATACTTATTTTCCACCATAATTTGCAAATAAATTCTTTCCAAATCAGCCAATGTGATTGTCTAGATTTGTTTTCTCATTTTGTCTCTCATAGTTGAGGTCTACCTATGATGCCAATTACAGGCCTCTCTCATCTTTTTAAGTGGGAGAACTTGCACAATTGGTGGCTGACTAAATACTTTTTTGCCCCACTGTATGGGTAGACAAAGTGTTGTGCTAACCTAGAACCCCCTCTAGCTGCTGTCCCAGTTTTGTGATCCCCTCCAGCTCCATGCAGAGTAGCATGCAGGACAGAAAATAATGAGGTTCTGACAGTCTGGGAAAGGGAAGAGCAGACGTAACAGGCAGAATAGCCTGGAATAAGATATGTTGTTACTGCAGGCTTGAAGCCTGTGCAGGGAGTGGGAGAAGTCACTAGAGCAGCTGCGACTTTGATCTGACAGCAGTTAGCTGCAGCTAATCAGAAATATTTCATCTCTCTCCTCCTAAGGCCCATACACCATGGTTGTAGCTTGCGTGGTTCCTCCATCTCAGATTGCACTGGCAGGAACTGACCCAGACCCATGAGCTACGCTCATTGTGCATTCGGTGCTGTGGAAAAACTGATGCTGGGTCAGTGCTGCCCAATCCTGAGAAAGCAGGAGAACTAAGTCTGACTACTAACAAACCAGTTACCAGGCACTTTTAGAGTACCATAATAGTGATCACTTTTACATGAAAGTCCATCGCTGGCTTAAAATCTCAATACCAAGCTCAAGGCAGATGCAGCAGCAGAGGTTTATAAATGTACCTTGGTAGACAAGGGGTTAAAGACAGGCACATCTTCAACTGGAATAGCAAGCACCTTGATAATGTGGGACACTACCAGTAAACAGCGTGTCAGGGTGTTTCCAATCTCCATATAGAAAGCGTTGAAATAGCAAGGGTAAAGCATATGCGGCCTTAGGAGCTTAGAACCAAAGACTGGAAACAACACTGGTAAAAACAACAGGCTGATCCTCTAATTTAAGAGTGTCACACATCACATCACAGTCTGGAGACTGGAGAGACTTAGAATCGGACAAGGCCTTTGAGGCCGATGGCTATGAAGCCACTAAGGCCATGGGTAAATCAGATACAGAATCTGCGGGAGAAGGTGCAGAAACACCCTTTGTGGCTTCTGCATTCAGAGTCAGCAAAAATCTGGGTTTGGACTATAGAGTCTTGCTTGACTGTTGCAAAAGCATCATCTAAAAGTGCAGAGAATCCAGCCACACTCAACAGAGCTAAAGAAGACTCCAATAAAGAAATTCTAGGAGTAGAGGGCAAAATGTTTCCTGACTGCAGACATCAGCACTGTCAAAAAGCGTGCTGCAAGCATTCCCGGAGCCATTACCAGAGTATTAGCTGATGACAACCGGCAGAGTGGGACTGCCCCCTCATGTTAACAAACATGTTGCAATGGTGGTAAAGCAATGGCTCAGGGTAAGGGACAAAGCCCCAGGTACTCGTGAAACTCAACTGTCTGTAGCAGGTGAGGGTTAGATAGCCTGAAGTGACCAAAGTCACTGTAGGGAGGTAACAAGAATGAAGAGAAGTTCTATTTGACTTTTTTTCAAGCAGGAGTAGCATTAAGAAGGTGCTTCCTTGAAGTTGTAGGATGGGAAAGAGACAGCAGAGCATGTGCAAGGCGAATGCTCAGTCCCACAGAGTTAACCTTTTCTATGGTTGAAACCGGTAGAAATGGGGAATTTAAAGCCTATACAAATGAGGTAGCTGCATTGCTTGGCAAGACTTGCCTACTCAAAAACTGAGTCCTCGGGAACAGAGCAAGAGCTGAGACAATGCCAGCAGCTCTAGACATGGAAAGCATTTTTCATCTAACTTTTACCAGTTCCCCACCAATTCCAGGCTACCCATACAACATTCAGTCCAGTGGAGTCCATACATGGCATTCCAGAGACCACATGAAGGACAGCTGGACCAGAGAATTGGTGAGACAAGCTCTATCAGCGAAGTAGAGAAGAGTCTTGATTGAAGAAAAATAACTGAAGAGAACGGAAAAAAAAAGTGCTAGTAAAAATAGGTTAGTCTTTAAAGAATTCCAGGAATATTTTTCCCCATGCAGTAGGGCTGTGCCTGCACTGCATAGGTTAAATGCTCGTTTTTGTCTAATGGTGAGGAGAGTGGAGATATACTTACTTAATCCACCGATCCTCCCAGCGCAAGACCGGTTCCTGCTGCTCCTGTTCCCCAACCCCTGCGGTGTAGCAGTTTTGTGCGGTGGACTGTTCCTGACATCATCACACCCATAGACCGACTCTGGACATCAGGAACAGTCCACTGCTGGATGTGGGGGAGCGCCATTTTCTGGAGGATTGAAGGATCGGGTGAGTAAGCCTTTCATTGCACCCCTGGAAATAATGAGTAGTTAACCCATACAGTGCATGCACAGCCTCACTACATAGGAATAAAAAAACATTCCTGGATTTCTGCTTTAACACAGCAGAGGTGATAAAGAGCTGTTCATCCCACAAGGACACTAGCAAAAACTGAGGCATGCTGGACTGGCCTACAGTTTTTTTGCCAACTCTCCTAAAGGCAGCAGTATTACGTGAAGGTTAAAGAGACTACTTGCGCTCCACAAGAAAGAAAAATCAATTACCATTCAAATGGACTATAATTTTAAATTAGAAGAAGCTCCACTAGTACAAACCCCAAGTGTAAAAAAAAGAAAAAAAAAAAAGAAGAAAAAAGACAAATACCTCCTCCATTTTTCTTCTGAAGAAACAGAGACAGCTGTGTCAATGGGCAATGTCAAGCTCACACAATGACGACTCTGCTTGTTGTATGTAATTATTGGAGTTACCGCTTTGGAGGAGGTAGACAACTCAAACATGATGCTGAGGTTAACAACTTGTTGCTGTAAATGGATGAAAAACAACATTGATACATACATAGTAGATTAGAATTGAAAAGAGTATGAAAATCATGCAAACTAATATTACATTTACATCTCAGTTAAAGTATAACTAAAGTTAAAACTTTATTTTTTAGCTTTGAATAGAGTGGAGGGGGGATTAGAACACCTGTCAGGTTTTTATTGCCATCCATGTCCCTGTTAGATCTGTTTACTGCTATCACCGACAGTGAAAGAATATCCCACATTTTGGGTTGTCACAAGAAACGGAATAGAGGGGAAATCTTTCAATAGGGACATTAGTGTTGGTGATCCTGGTGACAACCAGGGATTCCCTCTCATTTCCAGTCTTGGCTATAAGATGGGAAATGAAGGGAAATCTCCCCAAGGAGTCACAAATGCTGAAAAAAAAAAGAAAAGTAAGACATGCGTTACAGCCCTTTCTTACTCGATCCAAAATGAAAAAGTTTTGCCTTTATCTCTACTTTAAGCTAAGTTGGTCCTTCCCATTTTTCAGAAATCCTCTTTTACTAGAACCTGAACACACCTATGTAGAAACAGGAAAACTGTTAAGTGAAGAAAACAAATTTAATAGCATTATAACACTAAAGGGGCAAGGTTAAACAAAACCTGAGCCTACGTATTATATACACACACCACATATGCCAGTCATTGCACCATACATGCCTTAAAACTACAGTGTCACTAGCAAGAGTCTAACAAACATGTGCATACCTCAGAACAATCATCTTTTTAAAAAATAAACTCTTTCATATTTAGAATGCACAGCACAACATATATAAGTTCAACATACATAAGCAAGTAAGTTCCTGAACCATGTGACAATTTCATTTACTCACTTCCTGAAACTGGAAGGGGGTCCTTGGACATCCAAATAAGTTGCTTACCACTTCACACACATAGCCACAGCATCAGTTACTTTTTAGTACAGTAGTGGCAGGGAGACACCAGTTTGGGGTCAGATGCACACCTGCTTACTCCACCGCTGGCATAGCAGTAGAAAATATAAATGTCAGGTGTTCATGGCACCGAGAACAGAGACACCCAATAGGAGAGAGTCGGGGAATGTGCCCCATGGCAGGCACTAGGGGCATCCACGGTGAGAGCCAAAAAGACCCAATTACAGTCAACAGCTTTTCTCCCCAGTGTTTGTCAGTAGTGTCTGCTCAAATATGCAAATCCAAAACAGTCGATTGTACCCGATTGTACAAACTGCAGCAACTTCAGCAAACAACAGATTAAAGTGTATAAAAATCCAAGAATAATAAAAATATGATATACTGTAGCCTACCAGTCCTTAGAAAAAGACATTGCATTAGTTTTCATTTTTGGGGATTTTTTCTTTTTACCCGATGACCATAACAGTAACATGCATTAAGGTAAAAAAACTTTGGGTGCAGCTCACCCTCAGCCCCTCATTATACTCACCTGAGCCCCCTCTCAATCCAGTGATGTGCATGAGAGCCGGTTCTCTCTGTGTCTCTCTCTCATCACTGGCTCACACAGCAGCAGGAGCCATTGGAACCTGTTGCTTTCAATCACTGCCAGAGAGTCAATGTGGAGAGAGCGGGGGCGGGGCAGAGCCTGCTTGAATGTCCCCATATCAAGAAGTTTGCTATTGGGAGCACTCTGCAAGGGGGAGGAGCCAGGACCACTAGCAAGGGACCCAAAACCATTACACAAAGCAGATCAGTATAACTTTTTAATTATATTTTTTTTTTAAATAATTTAGAATTACTTTAATGTGGCTTTGTATTTTCGCATACGTTAGCAAAAAAATATGTAGTCTGCGATTGCGGACTTCCTTTCAGAAATGCTAGTTATCTGGCTTTAATGCTGATCAATTAGCTTCAGTTCCTGGCAAATCATTGACCCAGAACAAGTATGCAGGTCAGGAGTTCTAACTGTGCTCTGAGTTAAAGTGAATGTAAAGATTTTTTTAAAAATAAACATTGTATACTTACCTGCCCAGTGCAATGGAGAAACCTCCTCTTCTGGAGACCTCCTCTGATGCTCTGGGCTCCTCCTCTCTTCCAAGTTGGGGCACTACTTGCTATGAGGACACTCGCGCTGGCTCAATCCTGAACCGGGCTGTGTGCATATATTCAGACAGAGAGCATGGCTCGGCCCCAACCCCGCTCTTTAGCAGCAGGAGTCAATGAGAGAGGGAGAGAGAAGAGCTGCTGCAGACGGGCAAAGCGCTGGATTGAGATCGGGCTCAGATAAATAAATGGTGGGCTGGAAGGGAATTATTATTGAAAGGTTTTACCTTAATGCAGAGAATGTATTAGGGATACAATCTTTTACATTTACAACCACTTGAATTAGTTGCATGCTTGTTCTGTGTCAATGACTAGTATCAGCAATGGCAGCCTACATATTTATCTCACCATAGGTCCCCTTTAATATTGGAGCCAAGGTTAAGTCTGGTTCATTGGTTGGCTAGCAGGACACGGTGCTATAAAAAAGATTTTATTCTTCATTTGTTGATAAAACTACATCTACTACTAAAAAGTTGCTATGTGTGATAGCACTGGTTTGACAGTAAATACATTAAATGACATACCATTTTTTGTTGCCTTTTCTCTTTCCGTTTAGAGTTTTTGCGCCTGTCATCATCATCATCAAACCTTTAAAAAGCAGATTATAAGACAACACATTTAGAATGGTAAACCAGTATATATTTAAAAAAAATACTATATCCTCTGTTTCTTACTGGATAAAATTCAAGATGTCTTTGCAGGGAGAGTCATCTGTCAAAGAGGAAGGTGATGTGCTGACTCCAGTGTTGGGCCATACATATAATGAACTGTGCCTGACACTAAGCACCAAGGACTCAGACTGAAGTTTTTCAGAAAGATCGGTTAATTCTTGCACAAGTGCCTTCTTGCAGGATGATTCTATATTAAAATAAGATAGAAAATGTAAACAATAATCAATTTACAAATTATAAAATCTACACAAAGTTTGCAGACAAAACCTAAGAGTTGTGTAATCTGACAAACTAAGTCATCCTGGTTTTATATGCTGTGTGTTTTCCCCTGATGGGATTACAGAAAAGAGGACAACAGAACTGAGTGATTAAAGGATAAGTTCACCTTTGGGAACATGTTACATATTCCACCTGTTTTTAGGGTGGAACATGTAACATGTTCCCAATGCTGCAGCCGTTGCCCGTCCCCCTCCCCACACCATCACAGCAGTATGTGGAGAAATTCCCTGTACAAGCTGTCACTTTTTATAAACAGCACATCCGTGCAGGCTCCGCCCACACAGCCCTGTCATTCATAGAGTTCTGCGAATGAATGAACTACAAGTACCGACACCCTTAGCGGCTGTTCCCTTGTAGTTCTCAATCAGAACATCCAGTATAGGCAAGCACATATACTCACAGGTCTGCATGGCACCGGTGATCTGCTAATCTTTGGTGCAATGCTTTACAAGCTCCTGCAACAAAAAATAATAAATGCACATTTTTTTCTGCCTGCAAAAAAATGTGCATTTATTATTTTTGTCAAAAGGTGAACTTATCCTTTAACAGTGCAGTCTGCAGACATGAAATTGCAGTTGATTGATCTGGTCATTTTCAGTTTTGGTGATTATCTCACATCTATGCTGGCAGGCAGACACCTAATGATTGCTGCTCTTAAGGGAACATTGGGTAGGTTTTTTAATCTGCTTGGTCAATCTCCAGCACCTACATTGTTGAAGAAATTTGATAGGCCAGTACAACCAAGCTTGCAACTTTATGGAACACTGTGCAACACATGGAAAAATTGCTGCCTTGAGGTAGATCAGAGGATGCCTGAATATCCAATCACCTGTCAAAGTTCATGGGATTAATCCTGATCTGGTTTATTTCAGTCATTGAACAACAATCCAGTGGGTGACCATACTTAACCAGACACCCATACTGAAAGATCTTATAGAAAATAAAGGAGTGATTCTGAATATCTTTGTAGGACTAATATTATTTAACCCAAGATAAGTTGCCCCCCCACCCTGCTAACATAAACATGTACATAAACCCTGCACATAGACTTTAGTCCAGGCACAATCCAACTACCTCAAGACAAGCAGAGCACTTTGTTAACCTGTAAGCTCATCGAGAATAAAAAACTTCTATGGGAACGGAAGAGGAATCTCACTCTAGATTACTGGAGGGGGAACAATAACAATTTGGACAGTTTTTCTAACCCATACTCTGGGCTCGAATGATTTTGTACACTGTTTTCTTTCTGTGTGTGTACTGTAGGAGAGACAGTAGGGTAACCTCATGAATATACCGCTGCTCCTTCATTGTCCAATCACAGGTTTGAATAATGAAGCACAACATCTTATGCTTTTTCCTATAGCAATCCTTCAGGTAGGTGATTACCAATACACCAATTAACAGGAAGGGAAAGTTATTAAGCTGTTCAATTGGAGGATGCTTGCAGCTAAAATAGGGTACGGCATATATGTGGAACATAAAACGCAAACACCGAAATTAGGATTTTCATTCGGAGGTCTGCATTAAGGCAACAGGTTATACATACCATCAGCTGCTGGCAAGTCAAATGACACACTGAGACCACCTCGTGTTCTAAAAATTATTTCTGGAGCTTCAGAATTAACCTGTATGATTACAAAAGATGAGCTTTACTTGATGAGAATAAACATCGTAAGACTAGACAAGTGATCTTTGACTGTCTGTATGTTATTACGTGCAAGCTTTGTACAGGAGAATGTTGAGTTCAAAAGATTTTCTCATACCTAAAAATTTCTTTCATTACAAATGGAAAATGACTAGGTGTGATTAATCACTGAATCAGTAAAAGATAAAAAGAAAAAAAAAAAACACTCCTACAGTGACCCATTTGGAGCACTGAACTACTCTCTGCAACCACTGCTATGACCACGTGACAGAAAATCACCCATGGAGCTGTTGCTATAACAAAAATAAAAAAGCAGGTAATCATTTGATTGATAGTGATTTTAGTCACATGACTGCTTGATCTCTGTCATCTGTGTGGAGCTAACCTCTGAGAAGTAGCAACTGCTACATGGCATGAATCAGCCAGTTCTTATATCTCTGTACCACACTGCCATCATCCATTCATTCAGAATATGCATAGCATTTAACAGTACTGTGTTGAAGGACAGCCTAATGATTATCATGCATAACCAGACAGTGGAGGTAGGTTAGATCCTGTTCACATCTGTGCAATGCAATTTTCTTGGTGTCAAGTTTTAATGCACAGTTTACACACCTTTTTAAGTGTGCTGCAATTAAACTCTATTAGAACGTAAGATTTCATTTAATCGCATCAAAGTCCTGCATACTGCATCTTTAATGCTCTTTTATAAAATGCACGTTCTAATACAGTTGTGACCAAAATCCTTTTACAGTTATAACAGCTTTTAAACGTGAAGCATAGCTTGACACAAGTGTCTTGCAGCGATCTACGGGTATCTTCGCCCATTCTTCATGGGCAAAGGCCTCCAGTTCAGTCACATTCTTAGGCTTGCGCACTGCAACTGCTTTCTTTAAGTCCCACCAGAGGTTCTCAATCGGATTTAAGTCTGGTGACTGCGATGGCCACTCCAAAATGTTCCAGCCCTTTCCTCTGCAACCATGCTCTAGTGGACTTGGAGGTATGCTTGGGATCATTGTCCTGTTGAAAGGTCCAACGTCTCCCAAGCCTCAGGTGTGTGACGGACTGC